TGAAGAACAAGGAGGTTAGGATAGCATATCGTTAACTGGCTGCTTCTACGAACTATAATGATGGTCTATAGCATCAATGATCTAACAATCAAGCATTGATACTACTCGTGGTAGAGATCGTTGATCATTCCCTCTATACTCGTGTAGCTGACTCGCACGAAACTACACCGCAAATTAATCCCGACTAGAGCCCAAGTTTTTAAACTCTAGCCGGGTGCAGTATAGGGAAAGTATTTAATTGTCAAACCCGGGCCGGTCCATGTACCCCTACTTCAATCGCTTAAGATGTTATCTAGCAAAATGGTTTTGGGTTTAAAACTATGAAAACAAGCAAGTAAGATTAAATGGGTGGAAAACTCTAGGTGAGGAGTTTCACTCGGGTGTTGCTTTCCCCTAACCAACTACCAAGAACCGTGGGATTGAATGAAGTGATGTGTAACGAGGCAATTGTGACCAGTTGGAGATGCAATAATGGTTGGAAACCATTCTCCCAATTGCTAGGCCAAGGTAGGGGTCAAAGGCTACAATTGTAGCCCTCTTGGCCCAAGCAATTGAGGGTTGACTTACCTTCTCCCTCAAACCAAGGGTTTGGACAATATAATCATAGTTAACCAAGATGTCTAATACAAGCTTAGAGGTTTGCCCTTAATTAACCAAGAAAAGGATGCATGGAATGCCCAAGGAAACCCATCTCTAAAAGAGCGTCTTAACCAAAGGAGGTCTCTTCTCTAATCGGGGTTAGAATGGCTCTTAGATTGATAGGTTTTCACTCATCACAATCATTCATGAATAATACCTCAAACCTTAAGTTAAACACCTCCATCACACAATCATTCAATCCATACAATCAATTACATGATAGGAGTTAGGGTTCTACAACACCCAAGTGAAAAAAGGAAACTACTCCATGCTATATAAAGGAAGAACACAAAGGAAGAAGAAAGAAACCATCATTGTGATGCCTCCAACCCTCCTTGTGCTTGTAGACTCCTCCTTGGGAGAGGATCTTCCAAAATCTTCACTTGGAGCAACCTTAGCCTCTTCTCCCTCTTGGTTCGTCACTTTTTCTCTCTAGAATTTCAAGAAGAAGGCTCTCCCCCCTTTGGGGCTCTCCCCTTTCTCTTCCTTTCAGCTCACATTATATAATGGGATCGGGCTCAGTTCACGGCTTCAATTCACGGTCGTGAACTCCTCAACGCGTCCGTGAACTTGGAGTGTTGTGTCGAAACACACCGCTTCACTCACTTGAGTTCACGGTTTGCACTCAAAGTTCACGGTCTTAGTGACCGTGAACTCACTCGGCGTCTGTAACTTCAGAATTCACCCTGGACACTTCGCGGTTCACGGTTTATGGCTCCAGTACACGGTCTTAGGAGACCGTGAACTCCAATGGGAAACCGTGAACATGGCCTGAATCCTGGACGCCTGCGCTTCACTATTATCGGGCAATTGTCACAAACTTTGGACTTTACTTTGGTTTTTGCGCTTTTTTCGACCTCCAATCATCCCAAAACTCATCATCGACCCTTCCACACGTGCTAGGACATGAAATGTATCAAAACAAGCACAACCTAGCGTGAAATATGTCGAGGGATGATGAAATGCAAAGCCAAACTATTAAGAAATGTGTAAAGGGGTAAAATGTGTATAATTAGGCCCGAATCACTCTCCCACACTTGAACATTTGCTTGTCCCCAAGAAAACCAATCTCGAAAAAGGTAATATTTCAACCCAACAACAAAAACTTGGGGACCAATCAAAGGGCCCACACTGGATGAATCTCAATGCTTATTTGGTATCAACAAATGAACCGGCATAAGCAATACCGGCACGCACCACAAACAACATTCAAATGCATTAAGAACGTGCAAACGAAAAGTTCTCACCCTATTTACAAATCAATACAAGTCTCGACCGGACTACTCATCAAGCACTACTAACCATGCATAGAACTCAAGTGCAAGGGACAAACAAATGGGCGAACTACGTCCTCACCAGGATAAGATATGAACATGCAACACAAGAATGAATCACTCACTCTCTTGACCTGTGGGGTCGGGACCATTTGGTGCAAACGATGTGCACAATCATCAACACTCAGTCCTATCATCTCTTCACCATGGCGGCAACCTCTAAATGCTAGAGTTCATGGGATGGTTGTCATCACTAGCTTGTCCGGAGGTCTTAGACACGGGTTCAAATGACTGGCGATTGTCTGGGACATAGGAAAAGGCTTTCGTTTCTCTTTCTTTTTCTTTCTACTTTCCTTTTCTTTTTTTTGGGGGGGGGGGGGGGGGGTACTATTTCCTTTTTTTTCTTTTTGAGGGGTGTACTAGAGAGTTAAACATTTATCACACTACTTTTAACGATCAATGCTCTCTTTTTAAGAAATCACTCCAACACTATTCTTCTTTTCACTTTCGTTCCTAGCAAGAATCGCACACAATCCTCCTATGTAGAACCTCAATGGAACTCAAAAGCGAGAGCTCCGAGACACAAGGACGACATATGTATAGACACGAAGAAAGGATGGGGGTTCGTTCTAATAACACCATTAAGCTCACAAGCAAAAAGCTCTTAACATGAGAACGACCCCCAAAGTCACAAGGCTCAAAGGGGTTGACTAAGGGATAACACATTTCGGGACAATCAACATTTGGGCGTGGACTAATCCTATGCCTCCATCATACTCACTAGTGAAAACTGTGATGTTACTCGCCATGGTAAGAGGGATCTAAGCACACAAGAAGAAAACGATAGGCTCAAAGCTCACATGGCTACCTAGTCACCCAACCATCTATTCCAATTCACAAAGCAACATGCATGGCAATTGTAATCAACAAGTAATCAAGTCAAAATATCCATTCATTTTTTCACACATGAGAATTAAACCTTTGCACTATCCTAATGCACCTCACAATCATCATCATAGGACGTACTCGATCACATGCAACAATTCAAGGTCAATGCCAATAACCACAAGATTCTCCTACAAACCGGCCACTTTGATCATGCAAACATTGCTTGGAGACCTCAAAATTTTTCAAATTTGGGCATACATCAAGGCTCCAAGCATTCAAAAGCACACCAATTATTCACACAAATATGCATAAAGGACTAACCCCCCCCCCCCCCCCACCACCCACACACACTTAAGCTAGACATTGCCCTCAATGGCGTAAAAGAAGGAGGTAGAACGATGTTACCAGATAGTGGTGAATGTTGGTGTTCGGGAGCGGAGGGTGGGTGAGATCCGGAAGAGCAAGGAGGCAGCAAAACAAAGGGTCGACTTATTGAAGCCAAAAGAAAACAAATCGATGGTGGTTGGGTTGCCTCCCAACAAGCGCTTCTTTAACATCGTGAGCCGGACGATTGCTCTTCAAGTTTCAGTCCACGCTAGCATCTCCTTGTAGTTGAGGTTCCCATCGTGTAGGCGGAGCCTTAAATCATGGGCACATAGAGTGGCAATTGACGACGACTCATGAACTTGAGTGGTTTGAAGCCTCCACCCTTGAGACCTCTCCTACTCTTTTTCTCTTTTCTCTTTTCCCCAAACCAGATAAAACATCATAAACTTTCCACCACCACCTTTATCAAGGGAGAATAACGAGGGTGTGGCTTTGGTCGGGCAAAGAGTGATCGCAAAAGGATCCTTTCTAAGCAACTCTTCGAAGTTCGGTGGAGATTTCTCGATAATCATATGGCCGATGCAAGCCTCTTCCATCGAAGCTTCCTCCTTAGCACGGAAGCCATTTGCTTCATCCAACTCTTTCCCTCCTTCATATTCCTTTTCTTGGGGACCCTCAAGAAATTCCTTTTCTTTTGTTTCTACCTCCTTCTCCACAACTTTTTCTTTCCTCATCTTTCCTCGCTCTTCTGCAAGCAAGCGTTGAATAGCGAATCTCCAAGCTATGTCTTTGATTGAATTAGGACTCAACTCCTCATTGATGACTTCCTCTTCAACGCATGGGATGAAATGTGGAAGAGTGGTGGTTACCTCAAGAGGACATTCCAAGTCTTGAGCATCACGGTGGCCATCATTAATTGGTTAATTGGTTTCATTGGTTAGCAGTGTTTTTTTTATAGGGAACATTGGTTAGCAGTTTTGAAACCAAACCACTTAAACCAAATAAGCTAAATTGTTTAACCAAACCAAACCAAATCAAACCAAATCAATTAATCAAATTAACCAAATCAAATTAACCGAATACTACCAGTTAATATGATTACCACGGTGACCAATCTGTTTGAACACCCCTATCTAGGGGTGGCAATGAGTCGGGTTGGGGCGGTTTTGTCAAACCCAAACCCAAACCCTTGGGTTTATCCGCCAAAAAAACCGGGGTAAAATCCACTGGGTTTGAAAAACTCAAACCCAACCCAACCCGCTGGGTATCCACGGGTTCATGGGTACCCGTGGATTTTTGTGGTAAAAATTTACAATAACAAGTTTCTTTTAAAATAAAAGTTTAACATCAATTTTCTCATACAAATCATTCATACAAAAAACACCAATCTAGAGCATACAAGCAAACCGCAAATGATCAATACAAATTGTTCAAAATTAAAGATAAACATCTATAAAAACATGATTAATTGATAGCTTCTTCCTCCCAAGTAAGTTTCTTCACTCTCCACTTCATAATATCAACTTCATTCTAAACAATTAGAAATAACAAATTATACATGTCTCCACAAACATAAAGGATATTAGTTTTTAAAGAAGATATATTGTTTAAAATATTAAATATACTGGGAAAGTAATTATATGTGTGTGCGGGTACCCATGGGACAGGTTTATCTAAACTCACACCCAACCCAACCCGATGAATAGTGTAACGGAGTTAAACCCGAACCTAGCCCAAACCCATCAACACGGATTTTACCCGCGTTTACCCAAATGGATCGGATAGGTAATCATGTGTTCGGATTTTGTTGCCGTCCCTACCCCTATCATACAGGCGAATTGCTATTGACCATCTCGCTGTGTTGTGGAACAGTAACATATAGCTTTCTGCTACTCCTCGACGATTAATTGTATTAGGGTTTTCACTTTTCTCGAGTAACTCTTGTCGCTGTACGTAAACAATATTCCGCTGTCGTTGTTCATCTCTGTCTCGCCGATTCTCGGTTTTCATCGGTTAACTGCATACTGCTAGGGCGCACAGTGAGAAAGCGGCGGAACCAGTGACTGCGACCGGCAAGCAGAGGAAGCTCCAGCAAAAATGTCGTCGCTGAAGAATGTTCTTCCTCAAAGAATTCACAAGGAACGAGCTCAGCCGTGAGTCGTCTCCGTTTTGCTGTTTCTGCTCTTCTTTTCTCATATTTCTGGACTCCATTCCGTTTCCGCACTCTTTCAATCGCTTATTTGCTTTGAATTTTGGGTTGCTCCGCTGGCAGGGAGTCGAGAAAGAAATTTGGGCTTCTGGAGAAGCACAAAGACTATGTTGTTCGTGCAAAGGCGTTCCAGAAGAAGCAAGAGACTCTACAGGTACAGCCACGGAAGAGTTCTACATCAATTTTTTGGCGCAGTTGGGTTTTCTCCTTTTGTTTGTTTCTGTTGATATGTGAGATTGATTCTGATTCCTGGCTCTCGTTGCTATATCTTCCTGCAGAGGCTCAGAGAGAAAGCAGCTTTCAGAAATCCTGATGAGTTCAACTTTGGCATGATCAAGTCCAGAACGGTAGATGGAATCCATCGTTCAGTGTAATGTCTCCATAGTCCATGTATTATTGCTTATCTTGGTTTTTGAAGCAACTTGAGATGAAATTTCGTATCAGACTTAAGAATAGAAATTTGATGGTGTGGTGAAGCGTAGACGCTGCCTTATCTGCTTTCTGTTTGGATGAGTGATCTTCCTCCATCGCGGAGTTTTGTCACTGATGAATTCTATTCTGAAATAGCTAGAATGTAACATGGTGTTTCAAAGTATGCTTATGAAACTGAGTAGCTTCGAATTGTAGCTAAGGTCAAGTACTTGAATGTGCTAATGAGATAACCTGAAGCTTTGGTTTGACATAGCAGACTTAGACTTTTAGGTTCACCAGGACTAGTTGTTCATCTAGTTTGGCTCTGTTTCTAGGGGCGAGGCAAATAAATACACACAAGAAGAACTAATGCTGATGAAGACGCAAGACATAGGATATGTGCTTCAGAAACTTCAGAGCGAGAAAAAGGTGACGGAGGCTTCTGTTTCCCTTATTTACTGATGAGCTGAAGGTTTTCAACCCAAATATATGCTCATTGATGGCACTGAAATCTTGTCTCGTGCAGAAAGTTGAAAAGCTTTCGTCTGTCTTGCACGTCGGAAACCAGGCATCAAACAGACACGTCTATTTTGCCGAAGACAGGTTTGTACTTTATGACAATTTTACTCGGTTGACATTGATTGTGCCAAGAACTATAAAGGATAGCTGGCTGTTTTAGAATACATACTGGAACCTTGTGCTTGCTGATGCCAGACTGTGTTATGTAGTGGATGTTAGTTCTCTAATGATGGACTACTAACTGACATGCTGGTTGACTTGAGGTCTGGCGATGGGCCTGTTTTGGACTCCTCATTGCTTTGGAGGCTTAAATATACAGTTTATGTAATGATGTACAAGTTGTCGCTAATCGTTTTCACTGATGAAAGGGACCTAGTAAGTTGAAAACATGTGTGGTTAACTGGTTATTGGAACTTTGGTTTATCGTCTTGCAGAGAGGATGCTGAAGAGATAAGGTCACGTTGTGCCAAAAACAACGAGGGTACTTCCAATGCGGAAAAGCCTTTGCCTGATTATATTAAGAGGTACACTTTTAGTTTACTTAGTGTAGATCCTACTACTGTAGATGAATGCTCCTCTTCTGTTAAATCTTTGGCTATCTTCTGGAGTGTGCATATATTTCACAAATGTGGGAAGCCTTTCTACGTGTCTTTCGGACTTTCTTTGTTACAAAGCCTAGGGTAGTAACTAGATCATCACTTTATTTATTTATTTAGAGGATGCTTTTCTAATTGTGTCTGGAGTTTCGTCGAAACAATAAAGAGTTCATCTGGTTACTACACTAACGTTTGATACATTTTGAAGTCAGGAAATTTACCATGGTTTAATAGTTAGTTGATTACAGTGGGCATGTCAATGTGCAGGCCTTTATCTGTCTGTCAGTCTCTATTTCTGGAATTTAGTATTAAGGTCCAGTTTTCTTGTGCAGGAGATTAGCCGGCTCTTACAGAGAGCTAGAAGCCCGGAAGAACCGGGCGACTCAGTTAGAGAAGCTGTACATGGAGATGACATTGCAGAAAGAACTGCAGGTATGGCGATGTGTAAATGTTTGCCCTGATTTATGCTTTCTGCCTGATTATTGGAGTATGGCATGATAACGATTGGGCCTTTTCTGTCATCAGAAAAAGGGACGAAAGCGCAAGCTGCGTGAAGACGAGACCGTGGCGCCAACATCAGGGCCAGTATACAAGTGGAGAAGAGAACGGAAGAGGTGAAAAATCAGCGATTATTTAAGGTGCTGTCTGTTTGTAGGTCTATCAAATTCATTTAGCCGCCAGGAGAGGGCTGAAAGTTCATTTTCACAGCTAAAGTGACTCTGATGCCGAATTTGGATCAGGTGGTAGAGAAAGAGGTGCGTGGTAGTTAGTTATGTTCTCATCTATTATCCCGACAACACAACGAAAATTAGCAGAAACTAGTGAAATTAGTAGCTTTCTTGTTGTTTTTCAAAATTTGTTTCTTGTGGAATAATATAAGTATTGAAATAATTTCATATGAGTTTATTATCAAATCTTACTAGAACCACTTTTTTACCTATTTTTCCACTCAATTTTCACAACTCATTACTGAAAACTTATTATCAATATTATTATAATTTTTTTCTCCCTCAATTCTCGTAACTTGTTGTGCCATACTATTTTTCTCATTGTTTTCCTATTTTGTCATAGTCTCAACATTTGATAGAATCAAAACACCCCATTGTATTCTTGAGATTTTCTATTAGCTGCATTAGAAAATTGTTAATGAAAAAAGAGATTAATTCATGCTAAAATTGGTGCTCAGCTACTAAAATAACTAAATGACTTCATTTTATTCCTTTTCAATTTTTCAAAATTACCTATTGTGAACTAAATATGTTTTTTGTTTTAAGTTTTAGTGTTGTTTTTGTTCAATTTGTCATAACTCCAATAAAAACATAATAGTATGATAACAATACTAAACGAGGTAGTAGGATACAATGTTCAAGAAGGCGTTGCGTTGTGCTGTTAACTAGCACCTATCACGCCTATGCCTAGCAGTTTTAACAAGTAGTTGTTTGTAATAGAAATAACAATTTTATGGCGCGTTCTTACTTTAGTTCAATTTTAAAGATTAATAATTTAGTCAACTCTCAACAATAATCAAAATAAGTCATGAACCAGAATTGCAACTGCAAATGGAGGAATGAGTGAAGGATGTGTCGCATATAAGCATTACTTAGGCGTTATGAACGCCTAATTGTATTCCTAGGACCTAGGTGAGGTGTTTTCTAGTACCTAGACGCGCTTACGCGTATGTGAAATTACTCCTTCTTGAACCCTTGTTGGGTATACAAACATTACGAAATTTATGTGCCTCGATTTTAATGGGTATTTTATTGGTATGATGTTGGTTAATTATTTTTCTTACTGCAATTTTATTATAAATGGTAATATTACTTAGTATGCTGTCAACTGAACCACAATTTTAACACTTAATATCTCATTGTAGATTTCTAGTTAAACCATGATGCTACTTGTTATATGTGTTAGAATCACCACCTACGGCTACGTTGCACGGAGTATCCAATAAATGGTCAGCCATTTTTAATATTTTCAGAAGCAATTTAGCAAGAAAATAAAATGTGGAAATTATATACAAAAGAATACCAAATTATATAGATAAGAAGTGAAAAAGGCCTACACAATTTCAAGTAGACTATTAATCAATAGAAGGCTACTACTATGGTCATCCGAGCGGGCGTACTTCTCATCCTTGAGTGCCTTGCAGATGGAAAAATTCAACCCGTGCATTTTCAGAGATCATGCACTTCCCTTATTAAAAAGGAAATACTTTGCTGTAAGACCACACAGTTTAAACATTGAAGGAAAGGTTGAATAATTCTCGTATTGTAGAATCTTCAAAAACAAACACTATGTTATGGTTTTATAAGAATCAAGCAAGGAAAGAGCCACAAATCCCATTCAACATCCTGGCCAAACGTCCCTAATGCAATACCGAAACATGTTAATATTCCAATATGAAATGAAATGCCTCCAAGAATTTTGGACTCTGAAATCACCTCAATTAAAATCTCATATAAATCCTCTAACTCCACTAGCGTGGCCCCGGCCATTTGGCAGGAGGAAGGTGCGAGTATGAAATTTGATAATGTAATGGGGTGTATAGCTTATTATTGTATAGTTTTTTTTTAGAAACACGTGATAAAAATGATGAATTTTAGTAGGAAAGAGCAAGGTTCTAAAAGGCGCTAGGCGTAAGGCAGGCGCTCGGCTCCTGACTTGCGCCTTGCCTGATTAGGCGTAGCCTAGGCGCGCCTAGGCGTTCAGAGCATAAATGGAAAAAGTTCTCAAATATTTACTGTTTTATGGAATAATTCATATAATCCAAGTGCATATAAAATTAGTAATGCCTAGTTCTTAACAGTAAACACTTAACATAACAAATAACAAGCAAATAGTGACCACTTCCTAGAATCACAAGTTCATAAAATGTCGAAATACTAAACCATAGTCAATAAGTTCATAAGATAATGTTCATTCTTCATCATCCAAGTAGGTCCGTCCAGCCACCACTACATCTTCATCATCCTCCAAAGCAATCTCCTCACCATCCTCCTCCTCTTCCTCCTCTTCACACTCTAATTCTTCATCATGGAGCTCTCTCACTCGTGCACTCCTACGAAGCTCACTCTGTTTACCCGTCATTGCATCTGTAACAGTACTCGAGGGTGCACAATGTAATTCCTCATCCTCATCTACGAATACATACATAGCATGGTCATCCCCTAACCGTGTTTCTGATTTTCTAGGGCAAGAGGCAATTTTATGATTTTCTAGGACAAAACGAAGAGTATTGGGTTTAACCGCCTAAGCTCGCCCAGGAATGCCCAGGCACGCCTTCTCTCCACTAGGCGCAAACTAAGCGCTATTCCTACCTACTAAGCGCTACCAGCGCCTTTTACAACGCCTATGGCCAAGTCAAGGCGATCCTCCACTGCCTAGCGCCTAATTGAGCCTAGGCGTGCGCCTAGGCGCGCCTTCTTGAACCCTGGGAAAGAGACATGAATGATGCAACGAATCAAAATCAGCCTTATGAACCAAAATCAAGTACCTGTTACCTTGTGAAACAATATTGTTTCTGGTAGTATGATGAGGTGGAGTAAGTTTAATAGAAACCAAATTCCAGAAAATTGAATAAAAAATCGCCTATCCTGCCGGTTTTCGGGAAATGAGCATCTCACAATCGTTGCTAGCTTTTACTCGGCCCATTGGTCGATTAATTTGCTTTATAAAACTTTCATTTTGTCATCATTGTGATTTCTGGTTTTTTGTCAAGCCATGATAAACTCTAAAGAAATCAAGAATGAACAACACGATTTGGGATAGGAACCACCGTTCCTGTATCCCTAGAAAATGGTGGTAAACACGACTCACCTGCCAAACTGGTTTGGATTGAAATTTTTATCGGGTATCAAGGAACTATGTGATTATAAATTAGACTTGATCAAAACGGGCCAAAATTTGAAATTAGCTTGTTTGACTGACCCATGCCAAACTCTAATTATTCTTTACTGTTAAACTTTCTATTTGAAAATAAAAAATAGTGAAAGAAAAGAGATGACTGCAATTCGCCATTTGCACATCACTGATTCAGGAATAAAACTATAGAATTTCGAAAGGAAACTGAAAAGGTTTAGGATCGTTTTAATGTGAAAAATAACCAAATAGATCTTTCTGTTTAGTTTTTTACTAGCAAATACCAAAAGATTCCCTGTAAAATACACTATAATTTGATCATTATGATATCAAATAATTATATAATATATATTTGAAATGATAAAAATTGGACTAATTGGGTTGATCGAGGTTGAACCATTGAATAACTTTAAAATACATTATATTTTAGTCACTAAGATATAAAATAATAGCATAATATATATTATGCTAGAGAAAATAACTTGTTTTAGAATGGCAAACAATGATGTTCATTTGTTTTACTTGATGGCCAAATCCCGTGTAGGTCAGACCCATTCAACTCTTTTATTTTATGGTTAGCGGTTAGTCCATTAGATACCATGCATTAGTTTATTGTTAAATTTTTTATTTTTAGCAATAAAAAGAAGTATTGTTTTTGCCTTTTCATATATATTTTATCACCACGGAGAAATAAAAGAGGCTAAAGAAAAAAATTGACACTCCTGGACTCGTTTAAATCCGCATGTGTACGGTAAGTTGGCCCGTTCCACAGAGGAAAGTGAAACAAAATTGACACTCCCTATTCTACTCTTCCTACAAACGCTTTTAGAATGGCAAACCAATGATGTTCATTCGTTTTACTTGATGGTCAAATCCCGTGTAGGTCAGGCTCATTCAACTCTTTTATTTTATGGTTAGTGGTTAGCCCATTAGATACCTGCATTAGTTTATTGTTAAATTTTTTATTTTTAGCAATAAAAAAGAGTATTGTTTTTGCCTTTTCATATATATTTTATCACCACGGAGAAATAAAAGAGCTTAAAGAAAACAAATTGACACTCCTGGACTCGTTTTAATCCGCATGTGTACAGTAAGTTGGCCAGTTCCACAGAGGAAAGAGAAAAAAAATTGACACTCCATATTCTACCCTTCCTACAAACGCTCATGGAGCTGGGAATTTGAAATGGGGGAAGAGTTTTTTCCTCCCTGCTATTATATGTTTTTAATTTAAAAAGATACAACAAATGTACTTAGTGTGGTTGGTTATGATCCTTGTTTTTCTTTAAAATGGTCATGGTTCGAATCCCAGTACTTGTCTTTTTAATGAATAAAAAAAAGTATGTCTTTTTAATGAATAAAAAAAGTAATTGTGAAGACCAAAATGTCCTTTCTACTTTCACTCTCGCTGCAGGAAATTTGAAATGAGGCTCTCGTTTTTCCCTTCGGTCTATATTTTTTAAAAGGAGGTAAGATTACAACAACAACGAAATTTAGTGTGCATTGTCTAAGATATCCAGATCTAGATGTCTTTCATCGAGGGTTCTCAGATTTGGACCAATAGAGAATTGAGAATTCAGGGAGAATTATGGATTGAGATTAGAGGATAGTAGAAGGAAATTGGGAAGTAAGAAGGAAGAAACATAACTCGATCTCCTACAGGTTGAATATCACGACTAAGAAAACCCTCATATATTCTAATTGAAACTTAAAAAAAAATTCATTATGTTTGTGGATACAGTTGATACATCGTGAGTTCTTGACAAATAAAACAACAAACGAGTCCAAATATTAAAATCCTTCAAAAAGTGAGTTTCTAACAAGAACTCAAATAAAACAACAGAGGAGTTCAAATATCAAAATCCTTCAAAAAGTGAGTTTCTAACAATTCATGCCTCTTGAAACCAACATTACCCTCAAGGTTCGTCCGATGTGTCCTAATTTTCTTTTCCTTTCTCCGCCGCGAGCTCCTCGGCCTCATCCTCCTTGTCGCCCTAGCCATATCATATGACCTTAGGAACATTAGTGACCGATCGTGTACCTCTTATCGTAATTGAAGCAGTGCCCGGACCCCCGATTGATCTCTCATTGCCTTCCCTGACGTGTTTGTCAACTCTCGGCGTCACTAATGGAGGGTACACCGATTCAGAAGCGCCTCCCATGCCTTTCCACTATCGCAAACAACCCTAGTCTTCTCCGTTACTGGTTAATTCAGGTTCGCCTGGTTTAACTCCGAACTGAATTAATCTATCTTGATTTGATCCGATTTAGGTCAACCCAACCTGGTTAAACGGACCCCGGTTCGCTCGCCTTGGTAGATTCCACATTCGCCCAAACTCAACTATTTTGGGTGGTAATCTTGGTCCAGCGGCCCACCCTTGAGTCCAGGTATGCTCACTCCTTGCTCTGATATGCCTGGCTCAATTCCTCTACATCACGGGCCCAGCCAATCCGCATGTAGCTCGGCCCATGTTTGCCCGCGGTCTAATCTCCTTTCATGGCTTCCGCCTTCCGGGACTAGTGGCCGAAAGCCCATCTCCAAGGATGGGTATTGCATTCACCATCTTGGTTTTGTGAATGAACTTTTGGAAAGATCAGGCACTTCTCATCTTGATGTATGACTTCAATTCTATTCCATGAATCTACCACAAGGATTATACATTCATCCTGAACTTGTGCTGCTTTCATGTATTAGATTAATGCTTTATGAATCTGGCCAATAAGAGTTAATGAACCAAATTGAATGAGCCATCTTTGTGAGAAACATTCCCACCTTGTGTTCAGACTTGACAAAAATTTCTTTCTCCATTGAAGCTTCCTAGAAAGGCAAAAACTCCTTATTTCCATGCCAAATTCGTTGTCCCCCCATTTTTCATAATAAAAAGGATTGACTTTGGGACTTTGAGTTCAACCAAATTGTTTACTTTTTGGTTCATCGAATTCTGCCCATATGTACCCATTGATGATGGATGGATTCCAATTTTGTAAGCAAAGAATGCAAAATCATACCAGATGTTATGCTGAAAAAGTCAGTAATAGAGTATTTTGTATTAACATCATGGTTAGCTGTAGTTTAATTTTTTTATAGCTAATATTGCCTACAGATTATGATCGGGTATCCTGTATTTCTGATCCGACCGACCAGTATGATAGGGTTTCTAAACATTGTGCATGTCCTTAATTGATGCGTCAAGATCAGGGCAGAGCCACATAGGGCCTAAGGGGCACCCCAGAATTACAATCATGTATGAATGATCGGGTATTCTGAAGTTACGTAGTAACTTAAGCTTAAATATATACTTTTGCGTGAAAAAAAGTATGGAAAGCAGCAATTTGTCTTAGTGGAGCGTCCCTTGTTTCATGACCTTGGTGTGGGGGTTCCATTCTTGCTGAAGTAGAACTCTCAAATTACAACCCGATCCGAAATCGTCCAAAAACTAGAAATTTTTGTAACCCGAAATTTGAATGATCCGAATCCGATAATCTGTGATTTTTTGGGTCGGATTGGATGGATTAGCGGGTCGACTCGTTAGACCCGTTCAATTTAATATATTACTCCCAAAATATGATAATCACTCATATATTGGTGAGACGTTTAAAAAAAATCACAAGGATTTGAATGACATGTTTAGAGTTTAAGGATAATCAAATATCATGTTTTTCTTGTAGTAGTATTACTCTTGTGATTGTTTTTTGACGATTTGCGCAATTTATATTTCATTTCATTAGCGTGGGAGGATTTGAGAATATGTTAATTGACATGTGTTAGGTAAACTATTGTCATGCATATGTGAAAATTTGTGTTCTTTAATAAAATATGAAGCATGTTTGATATTGTTTCTGAGAATGCTCATAACCCGAAATAACTTGTAACCCGATCCGAAACCGAATGGATTGGGTCAATATTTGACCCGAAATAAGGCAACCAAACATGATCCGACCTCAGGGACGGAGCCAACTCTATGGGAGGAGGGGCCATGCCCCCCCCCCCCCCCCCACCCACCCACCACCAAATTTTTTGGCAGTGAGTTTTTACATATAGATGGAAGGTAGTTTTGGTGGGAGTTCTTGATCTAGCTTAGTTGAAACCCTCCTAAATTGTTACTTTACTCACAATTAGCAAGAATTCTATTGAAATCCAACACTCTGCTTCATTTTATACGCCTAAAAGAAAACTATAATAATTTTAAATGAATCATTTTGCTACTCTAGTCCACTATAATTAATATTTTTTACATGCTATTAATTAAAGATGTGTGGTGGGGGAAGTTTATACACGTATTATTAATTATGGTGCATCTTGTACCTATGAATTCATTGAAAAATAGAGTACGTAATCATGAGTTTCATTTTCTTGTTTTATAACTGTTAGTTAAATTTATTGCCATACATTATCAATATGTCAACCATAATTTGATCGATATTCTAAGAACCAGTTGATTCTAGAAATATAAGTTGTCGCGAGAGATTCAATAATGGATATGATACCACATATTAGCACACCTTTTCAAACTAAAGACACTAACATGTGCTTCAAGTTTCACACATCCGAAATACAATGTGCTTAACAATTGAGGTTGTCGGGATTGAATAGTAGACCTTTCGGTTACAGAAGAATATGATATTATGCCAAGTACCAATTCAGGATGCCAAGTACCAATTCAGGTTGTCGGGATTGGAATACTAACAGAAGTTATATATTAAATCTTCTATTTTGTATATTTAGATTATACGGTTTATTATAAATTAGTATATAATATTTTAACTATGTTTATATATGTTATGCATGTAATATGTGAATATTTTTGTGAAATATTTTCATTTCTACGAAGAAATTTTAGGTTTATTATAAATTTGACTGAATTCTATCAATTTTTTCCTTTTTATACAAATGTTATATTTTGGCCCCTCCTAAATCAAAATCCTGGCTTTGTCCCTGCCCGACCTGTAACCTTAGTTCCAAACCCGAAATTCCCCAACCCGACACGATTGCCAGGTCAGTGATGAGTGCTTTTTACATTTTTTTTCTTTAATAGTTTACCCTATGTATTAACATCATGTAATCTATAGTGATTAGTTATGGTCTCGTGGTAAATTTAGTTTAGTTGCTTAATTAACATAATTTCGTAATCATTTATTTTCAACTTGAATAGTTAAGTTTTGCAATTTATAATATTATATTTTAATGATAATTTTCTTATTAAAATACTAATATCGAATAAATGCTACAATCTGAAATGAATGATTAATTTTTGTTGTTATTTTAGTAATTTATTTTGAACAAATCATAATTCATTACATCTATTGCCAATCTAAATATCTAATTATTCGAAAATAATATTATAGAATTTAATAATTAACATTATTAAATTTTGTCACAACGAAATTATTATTTTGATTTTTCTTTTGTTTATTTATGATAACATGCCAAAAAATTCAGCCTCTCCGAAACTCAAAATCCTAGCTCTGCCCTGATCAAGATGTCTTTAGCGATGGACCATATGCACAACATATCATGGAGTTGAAGTGGAGGCAAGACTGCCTTGTAATTGGGGTTGTTTGGCTTCACACATTTTGACATTTATGGTTGAGGTTGAAACACGATTGAAAATATTAAAAAAAATATTTGATCTCATCCATTGAATGCCGATCCTACTCAATTAAAAGATGAGATTTAATTAATGTATAAACGGGTAACCCTTCGTTATGCACTCCACCTAAACCGGACGTTAATGCTCTTTCCTCTGTCCTATCTATTTCTTTACTCAAGCAAACTTGAAAAAGGAAATATCCCACCCAATCCCTACAATTATAGATACAAAATTTCTCAATGGGATTAAGTAATCCTAGAAACATCCGAAACCCGAAAAGGAAATTAATTAATAATCAAAAAGGAGAGAAAAGAAAGAGGAAAAGAACACATGAAAAGAGACGTTTATAATTATCCATTCCACACCCCCCAAAATTCAATTCCTAAACGCCATCTTCACCTGCTGCTTTCACATTTCCGTCCCTCCTTGTACCTTCCCCACGGGACCCAACGAAACCACCGCCGCCGCCGCCATCCCTCCGCTTCAAAACACCCAGCTTGGCCAAACCCTCCTCCCCCCAATCCAGTGCGTTCAACACCACGTACGTCCCAATCCCGCCGATCAATCCGTAGGCGATGGAGTAGGTCAACGGCATCAGAATCAGCGTCACGAACGCCGGAATCGCCTGCCTCATGTCGTCCCACTCAATCTCCACCACCGATCTCATCATCAGAACCCCGACCAGGATCAGCGGCGGTCCCACCGCCCAAGCCGGGATCGACGCCAGCAACGGCGTGAAGAAGAACGCCAGGAAGAAGTATCCCCCTACCGTCAGCGCCGTTATCCCCGTCCGTCCTCCCTCCCGAATCCCCGTTGACGACTCGATGAACGCCGTTACCGGTGACGTGCCCAGAAGCGATCCCACAACGATCGACGTGGCGTCGGACATGAACGCGAAGTACTGCCCCTCGAAATCCCCGTTCTCATCCGCGAAACCCGCGAAACGGGCCATCGAGTAAAGCGTCCCCGTCGTGTCCAAAACGTCGACGTACAGGAACGTAATCAATGCTTCCCAGAACTGACCCGACCCGATGCCCTTGAAGCTCAGCGCCCCGGCGGTGGACTTGATTGCGTGGACGTCCACTACTTTCCTGAAGTACTCGAACGCGGCGTCTCCGGCGGAATCGTCGGGAAACGCTGTGACCTTCGTGTGCCGGAACCAGGAGACGGCGGTGACGAAGACGATTCCGTAAATCATCGCCCCTTTTATGTTCTTCACCAGGCAGTAAGCAATTATGATGAACCCGACGATTCCCAGCCAGAATGTCGGGCTCTCCATACGGCCGCGGAGGCAGAGGATGTCCCCGGAGACGGTCCCGCCGGGGATCAGGCTCACGGTCCCGTTCGCCATCGCAATCACCGGGGCCAGCGACGCCCGGGAGGATTTGGGGCAGGCTCCCAGTGTGACCAGAGTGGATGAGCTGTACCCAACTAACCCGATCCCCTGATTGCTCTGCAACCCGATGAAGGCGAGGAACAGTCCGATTCCGGCGGAGGAGCTGATTCGAACGGGTTTGGGCACCAATTTGGCGATTCTGGCCCTCAATCCGACGGCCGAAATGGCGAGAAAAATCAAACCCTCGATGAAGACGGCGGCCAATGCGCTCTGGTAAGAGACGTTGCCGGATCCGTGGAATCCAACCACGGTATAAGCGAAGTAGGCGTTTGAGCCCATTCCCGGGGCGAGGGCGAGGGGGAGATTCGCGAAAGCCCCCATTATAACGCAGCCGATGAGGGAGGATGCGACGGTGGCGACAATTAGGTCTTTCCTGATTCGATCCAGGCAAGCGGAGTATCCCGGGTTAACCGGGTCGAATTTGCAGGAGTCGTCGGGCTGGACGAGCCGCAAGGGAGGGGATCCGCCGGAGCAATTGGGGAGAGGCACTGCCGGGTCGGAGCAGAGAGGGAGGCAGTCGGAGACCGAGCACGTGCCGCCGCTGTCGGTGAGGATGGAGGCGTTGACGGCGAGGATGTAGGCCATGGTGAGGAAGGTGGCGGTGCCTGCTCTGAGCTCGGTAGTGAAGGTGGTGTTGCGGGCGTCGAGTTTGAAGCGCTTGCCGACAGGGGAAGCGGCAACGGCGGAGTTGAGCCCCGTGACGAACGACGACGGCCTGGTGGGCGCCGGTGGCGGCGGCGGCAGCGGAGGAGGAGCAGATTCAGGGTCGTCCATGTCAACCATGAGATTTGATTTGTGAGTGGGAGAGTTGAGTTTGGGTTTGTGTTTATATTATGCAAGAGACACAGAGAAGGAGAGTAGCCCGTTAGAGAGTCGGCGGGGAATGTGGCTATGGGAAGAAAATCATTTAAGAATTGGGGATTAATTGGTGGGGATTATTGAAAACACTACCATAATATATTTTATTATTATTATACCACTGAAACCCTGCTGATGCGTGATGAGCTCATTGTAAGGTGCTAATTGGGTTGGTATAACACATATCGAATTAAGTTTTAACATTGAAATGTATTTTAACCTTTAATTATAACTCAAATCGATAATTTTTATTGGTTAATTGCATGTTATCGGCTCAGTTAATAATTATTTTGACAGTTAACTACTTATCAATAACAACCTTCGTAGGTAACAGTTTTTGTTTTTTATTTAAAACTTTTCTAATTTTATATTAATAATAATTATAAAAAAACATCAATACAATACATAATCCAAACATGTATTCCTAATTCACATCTCATTCAATTAGAGAGTACCAACTAGTTTCGAAGAAAACTTGTTTTAGCTTATTGGAAATGTTTCTGAAAGACGAAAAGGATCCGAAAGATTCGATGTGTATTCGTAATTGCGTAATCCAAATGGTGATTGGGTTATGAAGAAGAAAGATAAGGGCGACTTTGCAATTAACTTCTTCGTGCAGTTGTTTACATCTGAGAACATCGCATAGGACATGGGAAGCTGAGTTTCCGCCTTACCCATAGAACGATGTGTAACAGACGAAATAAATGTTGAATTGAGGTGAATCTTGAGGAAATTAGCCGTATAGTGTTTTTAATGGGTCGAAACAGGCAATAGGGTCTGATGGGTTCGCCGAGAAGTTTTAATTGGCCCGTTGGGATAAAGTTGGCCCATATATGAATGAGGTTGTGCAATCCTTGTTTATGAACGAGCGTATTTTACAATGCTTTAATCTCACGCGGTTAGCCTTGATCCCAAAGATGGATGAGGTGGAAACCATACGCTAGTTAAAAACCACCAAAGTTTGTACATATTTGTGCATAAGATTATTACTAAAGTCCTCACTAAGCGTTTGGCAACTCATTTGTGGCATATTGTGTCACAAGGATGGAGTGCGTTCATTCAAGAGCGACAAATTATAGATAATGTGTTAATTGGGCATGAGTTGATGCACTATCTGAAAATTAAGACCAAGGATAAGAAAGGGTTCACGACCCTTAAAGTTTATATGAAAAAGGCTATGACGGGGTTGAGTGATCTCTCTTACTTATGGGCTTGGATAGATTGTGATTTGCCCGATTTTGATAAAGTGAATCCAAGAGTGTCTCTCTATGTCGTCCTTCTCGGTTATGATGTACAGGACACCTTCGGGCTTCTTTAGATTGTTGTGGGGTTTGAGACAGGGGGATCCTATTTCTTTTTTAATGTTTGTGTTATGTATTGAGGGATTTGCTACACTCCATAGAAAGGCTATTGCAGATGGTCATCTCCCTGGGGTTCGGGTTAGTCCGAGAGCGCTGTCAGTTTCATATATGTTTTTCGTAGATGACTTCTACCTATTTATGAGGGGGTTGATTCATGAATGCGACTACTACCTCTTTATGAGCGCGTCGATTCATGAATGTGATTTCTTGATGGAACTTATGTGGGAAAGTGAGGTGTTAAGTGAACAAAAGGTCAATTTGGCTAAGTATGCAGTGTGCTTTAGTAAGAACATTGCGCATTAGGAGTGGACGATGATGGCCCAACATTTGACGATCTAGGTGGTGGGAGTTCAAGATAAGTACATGGGCTTACCAACTTTGGTGTCTCGCTCCAAATTGGGCACGTTTTGATTTCTAGAGGAGATTTTACTGAACAAATTGCAGGACTCGAAGCAACGTCACCTTTCTTGGGCAGCGAAGGAAATGTTGCTTAATTCAGTGGCATTGGCATTGCCGGTGCATGTGATGTCCTGTATCAGATTACCATTGTCTCTTTGTCGGAGACTTTATAAGCTGATTGCTCGATTTTTATGGGGGCGAGTGTGGGGATAACATATTTCATTAGATCTCTTGTAGGAATCTTTGTCGTAGTAAACACAACAAAGGGTTGGGGTTCGGTCGCTTTGAGGAATTTAATAAAGAGTTACGTACTAGGTAAAGTTGGTTTATGGATCTTTGAAGAGCCTGACTCTCTGATTGCTCAGATTTATAAAAATAAATACTTTCCACACGGTTGGTTGCTGGTCGCGGTGAATGGTCTGCGCCTCTTGTGAAGATGACAGTGTATACTTCATAGGCGTGCGCTCCTGTAGCAGGATTTACGATGGTAGGTGGGGACACGAGAGAAACTTTATATCCTCTCCTCAAATTGGATTCTGAGGGATACTCCATGTGGTCCATTAAATATTTATTTTATTTTATGAGTTCAAAATCTAAGAACACATTGAATGTCATTGTATAAATTAGTACAAATTTCATTCTAATTACTAAAATTAGACCCACCTTGAATGTATTTCTTATTATGAAACTTCTAACACTTAACTCGGTTGCACAATAATTTTTATAGAAGGAAGTTATTAGCATATAATTTGAATATAAATTACCCGTCAATCATAAACGTGTAGCTCATACATCCTAAGAATCTACATCTCAAACTACCAATCATATAGATGAAATTGTAAATTATAAAATCCATAAGACAACCTCATGCAACCAAGATTATCAAATTGGTTCCAACCATTGACTTAGCCATGAAATATGGGTTATGGTTCGACCACTTGAAATGAGGTTAAATGATTTTACTCGAATTTACAAAGGATATCAGAGAGAGAGAGAGAGAGAGAGAGAGAGAGAGAGAGAGATTGGCTAACTCAATCAATGTCAAGCAATTTCCAACCTAATGGTCTTGACTTTGTTTGATCAATTTTAACCATATTTGATTTTAAACTAAATCGGACGTGAGAATTTAGTAAGATGGTCGATGGCGATCAACTCTGTGCAACAAAACCTTAATCCATATCAATTAATTATTAACCAATTCTCTTGATCACAAACAAATACCTAGTTTACGCTCCATTGTCATAACATGAAAAAGGGAACAATAGTGGTTGTAAGTAAATCGACTGAAGATAGTATGCACAAGAGGTACCTATGCACATAAATATACTTAAACATCAAGTATCCTAAGCTCAATCTAGGGGATGCTATTTGGAGTATAGTGAATTAAAAATAAGAACACGTCGCTTATACATTTTAACAAATATATCTCAAACTATTTTCTTGATTCATAACTAAATTATCATAAACATGTTTGAATCCCCTGGCAAATCTCACAAGAGTTCAAAAAATACACAGGTCGTAGCCCACAAACAATCCTCACAGGGATTGGAAACAAAGAAACTCTACTACGCTAGACAGTGGCTACACCTAGCAGTTTTCTCAATTTGGATTTGGAACTTTGAGTTGCTACATGCATAAAGTCGAATCTCCTCTCTTAGCAACTCAGCCAACACCTGGGAAGTTCTCGGTTGCTCTCCAAAAATCCTCATGCACCGCTCCTTCCACAAAAAAACACCAAATATACTCCGGGCATTCACTTTATATTATTGAGCATAGCCCCCAAAGAAAACTTCACACTTATCAGGGTTGCATTGCAGGCCAGAGAGTCTATAAAAGTCATTAAGGACTCCCCTTACTCCATTCAAAGCAAATGTTGATCCCTAAGAAAAAATCAGGAGGTCATCAGCAAAAGATAAATGAGTGAGCCCCAACTTTTTACATTGAGGGTGATACTGAATATGCCTTGTCAAAGTCGTATTGTTAAGCATCCCGGCGAGAAGTTCCATTGCAATAGTAAATAGGTAAGGGAACAAAGTGTCCCCCTACTTAACCCCCTTAGCAGCTTTGAAAAACCCAAATAAACTTCCATGAACCGAAATACTGAAGAAAGCTTAGCTAAGACAGATGTCAATCCATTTCATAAACGTAGGAGGAAACCCCATCTTAGTCATTACACAACACAGATAGTCCCAATTAACACAATCAAAAGCCTTCTTTAAATCCACTTTCACAACACACCGAGAGGAAACATTCTTCCTATCATAATTGGGGACTATCTCTTGAGCCATCAGTATGTTTTATGTAATATTAAGACCCTATATAAAGGCAAACTGATTCCTACTGATGATTGAAGGTAGTGCATGCTTAATTCTAGTGGCAAGGACCTTAGAAATTATTTTATAAATCACATTTATACAAGAAATAGGCCAGAAAGAACCCAACTGGTATGCATTTGGTACCTTAGGAACTAAAGTTAATGAAGCAGAGTTCATACATTATATCTAGACCAATCTTCCCCCAGCATTTCTGGTAGAAACTTGCCGTGCAGCCATCAGGCCCCGGGGCCTTTGTTGGATCCATCTTAAACAATGCAGTTGATATTTCTAATCCAGTTACCTCAGCACAAAGAAGAAGTTGTTCATCACAATAGAGCCTTCCCATTAAAGAATGATCAATAAGAGCCTCATCAACTTGAACTTCCACGTTTGCCACCCCAAACAATGACTTGTAGAAATTAACCGCCTCCTCGGCAATATTCTACATATATGTCAAAACCTCCCCATTAGAAGCCACAAGCTTCCTTATTTGCTTCCTTACAATTCGGATTTGAGCACAATTGTGATAAAAGAGGAGTTCTGGTCCCCCAGAGAAATCCACCTGATTCGAGATCTCTGCCTAAAAATGGATTCTTCAGGTGTCTTCAATTTCATATACTCCGTAGTTAGTGCTTTGACTTTAGTAAAGAGGAGAGTACTAGGATCCCGGAGAGCTTGAATTTTTTTATGTTTCATGTTAGCTTCTTTGTCCTTGACCCGCTCAGATATATCCCAAAATTCTTTTTTATTAAGCTTTCTCAGTTTAGTATTCAGTAAGTACAATCTCTATTTGACCCCAAAAAGACATGTACCCAAAATTGCAGTTTTCTAGCTCTCGTCAAGAATAGAAGGAAAAGAATCATGTTGGGTCCACATATCATAAAATCGAAAAGGTTTAGGAAACTTCTTAGCTAGAAGTCTCGGTGTGATCAGAATACCACAATGATCTGAGAAGCCTGGAGCAAGAAATTCCACAACACACTCAGGGTACCTAGCAAACCAGTCTACATTAACCATTAGTCTGTCTAATTTCCTAGCTAAGGGATTGCCTTATTGCTGA